TTTCAATTGCCAGAAGTATGGTCATTATGCTAGTGATTGTCCAGAAAGGAAGAGAAATCAAGAGACTGATGCAAAGCTGGCGAAACATGAAGAAGAAGAAACGTTGCTAATGGTTACAACAAAAGATGAAGAAAGATTCCAAGATCAGTGGTACTTGGACTCAGGATGCTCATCACACATGACTGGAAGGAAAGATTGGTTTGTCAACATGAAGCCCTCGTCGAAGAACACAATGAAGTTTGCAAATGACAACACTCTAGCAGCTGAAGGTGTTGGTGATGTTCTGATTATGAGGAAAGATGGCAAAAGGTTAACAATTTCTAATGTGTTGTACATACCAGGCATGAAGAGTAACTTGCTCAGTATAGGGCAACTTATCGAAAAGAACTACAAGGTAGTTGTCGAAGACAAGATGATGAGAGTTCTCGACGCAGGTGGTAGATTAATCTTGAAGGCTCCAATGTCTCAGAATAGGACCTTCAAGATTGGACTCAATGTGATGGAGCATAAGTGTCTAGCAACTGCAGCCAGCAGAGATGAGTGGTTATGGCATTTTCGACTAGGTCATCTCAACTTTAATGACATTAGAGAACTGAAGAAAAGAAATATGGTTTCAGGATTACCAGAAATCGACATTCCAAGTGAAGTCTGTGAGGAGTGTGTTCAGTCGAAACAACACAAGAATAGCTTCAGCAAGGATGCAGGAAGGAAGTCGAAGGCAATACTTGAAGTCATATACTCTGATGTATGTGGTCCAATCCAGGTGGATTCGGTTGGTGGCAATAGATACTTTGTCACGTTTATAGATGATTACAGTCGAAAGCTGTGGACTTACCTCACCAAGAAGAAAAGTGATGTGATTGAGGTATTTTCCAGATTCAAGTCCATGGTCGAAAGACAGAGTGGTCGAAAGCTGAAAATTCTGAGGACTGATGGTGGTCGAGAGTATGTGTCGAAAGAGTTCGATACACTATGTGTAAAAGAAGGGATTGTACATGAGGTGGTGCCACCCTACACTCCACAGCAAAATGGGATTGCAGAATGCAAGAACAGAACCATCATGAATATGGTGAGAAGTATGTTGAATGGAAAGCATCTACCCAAAGAATTATGGGGAGAAGCAGTTTCGACATCAACATATATATTGAATAGATGTCCGACGAAGAAGCTTGAAGGAATCACACCAGAAGAATGTTGGTCTGGTGTCAAGCCTAGTCTCAGTCACTTAAACGTGTTTGGGTCTATAACACATAGACATGTGCCAGATCAGTTGAGAAGGAAGCTTGATGATAAGTCGAATCAGATGATCTTGATAGGATATCATTCGACAGGAGGTTACAAGCTGTTCGACCCGGTGAATAAGCAGGTAGTGATCAGCAGGGACGTGATCATAGATGAGCTTAAAGAATGGGATTGGACTGAGAATGCCAAGAAGGATTCAGTGAGAATCTCTTGTGAAGAACCAGCCACTGAAGTCGAAATAGAAGTTCGACAGGAACCAGTTGCAGATGAAGCAGGTTCAAGCAGACCTCGACGAATAAGACACATGCCTGCAAGGTTGCAAGAATGTGTAATTACATCAGATGATGTAGTCGATGAAGAGGGTGAGTTGGTACATTATGCTTTCTACGCAGATGTCGAACCAGTCAATGCAGCTGAGGCATTGAAAGATTCAAAGTGGATGAAAGCAATGATTGAAGAAGTTTATGTTGCACAACCAGCTGGGTTTGTGAAACAAGGCGAAGAAATCACAAGGAAGAATCATGGAGCAATTACCATGAAGATAGACAACATGTCAGCTATCAACTTGGCGAAGAATCCAATAGCTCATTATCGAAGCAAGCACATCGAAATGAGGTTCCATTATCTCCGAGAGCGGGTAGCAGAAGGGAAGATGAAGTTGGAACACTGTAGAACTGAGAATCAGATTGCAGATATCATGACGAAGGGAGTGCAGGTCGAAGCCTTCAGAAGACTAAGGGCCATGATGAATGTAGACAGCTTATACACAATGAATTAGGTGGTGTGTTAAATATAATTCATTGTGATTTGATATGATTAGATTTGATATCATATGATTATATTTGATATCATATGATTAATTTGATATGATATGATTAGATATCATATGATTAAATTTGATATCATATGATTAGATTTGATTTAGAATATTTTGGGCCTTTTATGTTTTGGGCTAGTGTAAACCTAAAACTATAAATAGGGTGTCTTGCTTTGTATTCTACATCACAACATAACAGATTTCACAGTTGCAGTTAGCAAGTGAAAGTTCAATAAGAAATCCCACAGTTGTGGGTAACACATTCTCTCCAAATATTTCTTCTCTCATTCTTCTCTTTCTTGTTTATTCTTCTTCTCTTTTGTTGTTCTTGATAATTACTTGTTATTACCATCATTATCATATTGTGGGTTTGTTCATCAATCTTGAGATCAATATTGAAGGAAATTCTTCATAGGGTGTGAGGTGAATTTCCAACAATAGTTAATAGTGAAACTATTGAAGTTGAGTGTTGTCAGAAATTTGAATATGTAGAATAGTTATTTGTTGTCCTGTTTTTTATTAGTGAAATATTTTCTTTCATATTATTTCCTATTTTTTGTTGTCCCTTATAGCTATATTTCTCCGATTTTCAAAAACACTAAGATAATAGGTTTATTATTTTTTATGGAGAAAATATGACACTCATTTATAGCTATATTACCTCAGTTTTTTACAAAACCGATGGAAAAAGTTGTTCTTCTTTTTTAAAAAAGAAAACATGTTGCTCCCAGGACCTATACGCCCGGTTTTGACATGTTCAAGGTGAAAGTTTCGTCATAAAAAATGTTATTTGTCGTAGTGTCACTAAGACAATTATTTAGAATAGTCTTTTGAAGGCTTATTCAGTTTTATAGAGTCGTCTTTTTGGAATCCAAAATTTTTGAGATCTAAAGTTATGTGTCTCATGTAAATTAAATATTTTTTGAAACTTCATGTAAATTTAATATCAAGTGAACCACACAAATAAGATGTTACAATATCCATCAAGTATAAAATAAGTATTTTATGTTCTACAAGGCAAATTAAATATTGAAAATTATTTACGTCCACTATAGGTAAATAAGTTTTATCAAAATGAATCTTAGATATTTTTAAAAATACTTGAGCAACAAATCAAGCTTTGTGTCTCACATTTTTATCATTCTTATTTCTCTTTTTTTTTTTTACAAAAACTCATTTATATACAATTGGTTTCACAGCTTGAGATGTTTAGGCAAAGGGAGTTTTATTGTGTTTCAAATGTATCTTTTTATTTTGACCAATTCTAACTTTGTCTACCATCATTAATAAACTTTTAGTCACGATCTTCATTATAATTTATCATGTTTAACATTATATTATATACAAAGACATTGTTAACCGTTGACTTTATTTTTGGTTATATTAATTTAGATTCCATTGTATTCAATTCATGACATAATTTATCGATATCTCTTTATTTTCATAAATTTTGTGTGCTTGGTTAGCTCTTCGAAAACTCAAAGATAAATTATATCAAAATACTCTAAGAAGTTTCATATCCTCACTCGAGTCATCTTTAATTTTAACTAATTTTATTAGTAGAAGATTTTTAATATTGGAACCGACTTGCCTACCACGCTTCTGTTTTAATTCATTTGCAATATTAAATTATCCAACATGAGAATCCACGCTGGTTAAAGTATTATCGCTGCTAATTTGTTTTATAAACTTTACAAATGAATAATCTTTTAAACATTTGGTTCATATCGGCTATACAAGCATTAAGATAATAATTTATTTAAATATTTTCATTTGTACTTTTGATTCACCCTTTGAGCCAATTTTCCTCTCCATCTAAAATTGGGAAAAATTAATTTATTAATTAATAATCTGTTTAGTGGACTGCAATCAATTATATTATTCTCATATTCTTTAAAAACTCATCTTATGCATTAAACTCCTTTTATGTCATCTTATATTTATAAGATAGTTAAACAGTTAATTTTACTAAACACTTGATCAGTTAGCCTATTAGCTATCAATAATCAACAATTAACTATAAATTATAAATTATCAGTCATCGATTATTAGGTATAAACTATAAGCTAGTTTATTATTCAACCGTTATTTTTAACAAACAAAAACTAATGTTATATCAATTTAGTTTATTCTCATTCCTAGTGATAATGGAAAGCAAGAAACAGAACAAACAACAACAAGATTGACAATCAAAAGTTATTTCTCACAATTCCAATTTTAAAATTTTTTAAAGAGAACAAAAGATTCATGTTGAATTTTACCGAAAATAATATGTATAAAAGAAACTAAATCTTCTAAAAAGTTGAATTGAACACGAGAAAGAAAATTGAATGAATTGAATTAGAATTTAGAAAAAAATTTGTTATTTAAATTTAAGGATAATTGTAAACTGAAATCAGTAATATTTTATTTTATTTTTTAATTTTTTTGAAATAAATAAATAAAAATGTATACTGAAATATATAGTCATGAGAATAATGAAGATAATATTATCATACTACACAAATGAAATAAAATTAATATTCCATTGAAAATAAAAATGATTTATTATTTTTGAAAAGTATTCATAATAAAATAAATGAAGATAAAAATACCTTATCTTATTATCGAGTAATTATTAGACAATTTGGCGTGGGATATTAAAATACCTTATAATCATTTATTAGTAATGGACCACTTTTTAAGTTGTCCCCCATGCCCGCTCCCTATTTTGTCTGTTTACTAAAATGTGAAGGATTTTGTTGTTATTTAATAAGCCATTAAAAGTTTATAATAAAAACTACTATTTATGGATATCTATGATATGACATTACTTAAAAATTGTAAGAAATTAAACAAAGGCGGTGCTACTAAATCAACATGATGACTTATTGACGTCATAAATTTATTTAAGTAAAATATATTTGTGGGAGTGACACAAATTACAATTATACATATCCAACTAACTTGATGAAATAGCTTGGACTCGAAGAGATTGAACCCTCTTTAAAGTTAATCCAAATTTCTCATCCATATTCATCTCTTCTGGAATTACCATATCAGCAAGATTCCATTCAAAATTGTGTACAAGGGATGCCACCACTAAATGTACAGTCCTGTGAGCTAATGGCAATCCTGGACAAATTCTTTTCCCTGCTCCAAATGGTATAAGCTCGAAATTATTACCCTTGTAATTAGCATGACACTCTAAAAACCTTTCGGGTACGAACATATTTGGATTTTTCCAAATGGTTGAATCTCTTCCCATGGCCCATACATTGACTAATACTTGTGCATTTTTTGGCACATTGAAGCCTAATATGTTGACACTTTCATCACATTTGTGGGGTAGCAGTAATGGAATTGGTGGGTGCAAACGAAATGTTTCCTTCACTATTGCTTGTAAGAAAGTTAACTTTGAAATGTGTGATTCTTCGATTATTTCATCTTTGTCTATTGTGTGACTTAACTCTGTTTTTGCTTTTATTAATTTTTCAGGATCGCGTAATAGCTCTGCCATTATCCATTCAATTATGCTTGATGTTGTGTCAATCCCAGCAACAAATAAATCCTAATAATGATAATCAAATTACTCAAATTTTTATAAAAATTATACAGAAACAAAAGACAAATAGAACAATCTAAAAAAAAATTGATACTTACTAGAAATAGGTGTACCATTTCATTGCGGCTCAATTCAGAAGAGGTATCTTCAATATTGTTATTAAGAAGTGAATCTAACACATCATTGCAAACATAGCCAGAATCATCAAGTTTGGTAGATCTTGAATGAATTCTTTCTTCAATAATTTTATCAAAAATCTCACACAGCTTCTTCATATGATTTGTCATCCTTGTATACAAACCTTGTGGATCTAATGGACGGAGAATAGGAAAGAAATCAGAAACATTAGGCTTACCAGCTTCTTCCATGATACCCCAAATAATATTCTTAAACTCTTGAGACTTTTCATCATGTGTGGAATGAGCCAAATCCATAGAGAACAAAGTGTTTGAAATTGAGTTTAGGACAGTTGTAAAAATAGCCTCAGTAATATCAAAAGCCTCACCTTTCTTGCTTTTTTCATTCACATAATCTAATAATTCTTGCAACTTTTGTTGGCGAAGGATTTTTGTTGAGTCAAGCATTTTCGTAGAAAATACTTTTGTGGCACAAATTTTCCTTAGTTTCTTCCACAAATCTAATGTTGGAAGCCATCCAACTGAGAATTTGTGATGATCAACTGCAAAAAGTGCATGTGGGACAGTTCTATTAGAGAAGATATGGCTATTTTCATGTAAGACTTGTTTGGCTACTTGTGGGGATGAGATTACTATGGTTGTTATTGTTCCTAATTTTAGCGTCATGATTGGTCCATAGATTTTAGAGAGTTTTGTGAAAGATTTGTGTGGGTTTTTGCCAAGTTTTAAGATGTTACCAATGATGGGAAGTGGCTGTGGCCCTGGTGGAAGTCTTGTAGAGTTTTGAGTTTGGTTTAATTTTGTAAGAATGAAGATGAGAATGCTTGCAAACATAAAAGTAATCACTAGCAGAAGCGTTTGGTTGTCCATGGCTCGTTACTTTTCCCTTTCCCTTATGTGATATATATAACTAAAATAATAATGGTAAAACTTTGATAATATGTTTATATCTTTACACCCTTTCATACACCTATATCATATGCACTATTCAGAAATACACTGAACAGTGTTATGAATAGTGAAACTGTACATGAACAGTGGTGTAAACAGTGTCATGTGAACAATGTCATATGTTTGAATAGTACGCATGAATAGTGTTTGCAAACATGAACAATAACTTTTAATATAAATCAAAGTTGGTTAATGAAAGGTAAAAAATTGATTAATATAGTGATGAAGTTGGTTAACAAAAATTAAGATATTAAAAATAATTTTTATAAGTAAAACAAAGTTGGATAATATAATGTAAACGGTTGGTTAACGATGTTATCAAGTTGGTTAATAAATGTTCAGATATTGAAATAATTTTTAAGTAGTCAATAAAGTTGGTTAATAAAATATAAATAGTTGATTAATGAAGTTATGAAATTGGTTAATCACATATTTTAATATTTATATTTCTTAATTTTAAAAATATAATAATAATAATTTTTATATTTTAAGAAAAATTATTATCATAATATTTCAAATATATTTATGTAGCTGTAAATATTAATATATTCTTATTCAAATATAAAATATGTATTATTATAATATATATATTCATTCATTTGAAAACAAGAGAGAAAATTTAATGATAAAAAATTAAACATATATTGTATAATATAACGATATCATTTTTAATGTATAAAATATTAGACTTAGTCAACCAGTCAACCTGTCTATGTAAATATGAGTGTTTTTTTTTTCATTATATATTTTTTTAAAATAATTTTTAAATTTTCAAATTTCTTTTTATTTTAATTAAGTTAAAATCTACAAGAAAATTTCTTTTTATTTTTATGAGAATGTTAACAAGGAGTTGGATTAATAGTTCTTTTTTTATCCAACTAAGTTATTTTGAGTTTGAATTTGAATTGGTCTTCTTTCATTTGCATCATCAATGTAACCTTTATCTTTCTCAAGTCAAAAACCACTTAAACATGACTTAGCATTAGGTTTGTTTTTCATGATTCATCTTGTCTTAGTTTTATGATGTCCTCATTCAAATTTAAATAAAAAATAAGATTGAATAAACTTTGAACTTTGATTGTCATCCATTTTCATCCACAAGTTTAACACCACCACAAATTAATTAAAAAAAATAAGAATGATGAAACTTGTTAAGTTTTGCATTCCCTTTTTAACACCATATATTATCATCATCTTCGCACAATTCTTTTTTTGAAATAAATAATTTCACATAAAGAGCAAGGTTAAGCCATTTGCTCCTTCTTCTTGGTCTGACTCGGTTTCACATACAAGGTTATTGAAAAGAAAAAACCAAACAACAACAATAAAATAAATTGAACAATATAATTTGTACAACATTAGAATTTGAACCAAGTTGATTTCATTTCAAATAGATTTTCAATACAATTACAATTTTATTAAAAAGGATTTACAGCACTAACATATAGAATTATAGTAAAAATTACATCTAAATTTGTACATGGGATCACCAAAAAGCTTTACACATTTATTCATTATTTTTATGGCTGACAATAAATCGAACCAATTCGAAAATAGTTCGAAATTTGATTCAATAATTAAATCGTTGAACTAGGTTCATGAACCAAATGAATTGAGTATGAGCGAAAAATTAAGTTCGTTAACTAAATGAGTTGAACTTGAACTATACATAGTTCGACTCGTTAGGTTCATGAGTCAACTCGATTACATATGAGAAGAATTATACTGTCTTTAAGATTAGGTTTAAATATTTACTCCAAATCTTAGACAAATTTAATCTTCAATTTAGTAGTTTTTGAATTAGACTCTCAAATGTATCTCTTGAAAGTTGTGTAGGTTTTGAATTAGTAGATTTCGAAGATAAAGTTAAATTTCAATATGACAACTTTTATTTTATTTTAATATTTTATTTTTAAAAATATATTTATTTAAAATGTCAAATATATATATATATATATATATATATATATATATATATATATATATATATATATATATATATATATATATATATATATATATATATATATATATATATATATATATATATATATATATATATATATATATATATATATATATATATATATATATATATATATATATATATATATATATATATATATATATATATATATATATATATATATATATATATATATATATATATATATATATATATATATATATATATATATATATATTTAAAAAATAGTTTTTAAGTCCGTGAATCATGTGAGCTGAACCTAATGAGATGAACCTAACGAGTTGAACCGAACTGTTCGTGAACTTATAACGAATCGAGTTTGAGCTTAAAAAAAAGTTCGTGTCGAACTCGCACTCGAAGCAATTCTTAACGAGTCGAGCCGAGTTGAGGTGAGTTCGACTCGACTCATTTGCAGCCCTAATTATTTTCCATTCACCTAAAATCCCATGAAATCAAGGATTACACACTCACTGCATAACATAATTCTTTTCCTTCAAACGAATACCTCAACAATTGATAAATATATTCTCCTTCAAAATATCTCTCGCACACTCACGACCCCAGTATATATAATATATATTACTTTTTACACATTGACAAGAAGAAAAAAATCCAAAAAAATTACTAATTTGGTGATGAATGATGCCTTAATGGAGGAGAGGGCGACGATGATCGAGAAAATCCACAATATCATTGTATTGAGCCTTGGTGATAAGATTCTCCGACAAGTTTCAAAGGAGAAAATTGCAGCTGATGTGTGGACGAAATTCGAAGGTTTGTACGTGACGAAGTCATTGGTCAATCATATCTACCTGAAACAAGCCTTGTATTCATTCAAGATGAGTGAAGATAAAGTCTTGGCTGAGCAACTTGATATGTTCAATAATCTGATTCTTGATCTTGAGAATATTAAGGTTACCATCACTAGATCAAGCGTTGTTATTATTGTGTGATTTACCTAGATCTCATGTTCACTACAAAGAAAACCTCTTGTATGGAAGAGTGTCTCTGACCTTTGGAGAAGTTCATTCATCCTTGTACTCGAAGGATTTGAAAGAAAGAAAGGAGCATAAGTCATCACTGTCTGTGAAAGATTGTCCGTGAAAGAAAAATTCACAAAGAAAGATGGTAGGTTTGAAAAGAAGAATGGTAAAGTTCTATAGAATTCTTATTATGGTAATGCTCCTACTATTAGGTGTTATCATTATAAGAAGGAGGATCGCACAAGAAAGGTGTGCCCTGATCGATTGAATAATCATGGTAGAAAGGATAATGGTAATGTGGTTATTGGACAAGATGATAATAAATCATCTGATGTCCTGGTGGTTTCAAGCAATAACTCTAACAAGGAGTGGATTATGGATTCAGGTTGCACTTGGCACATGACTCCAAACAAAGACGTGTTTGAGAAATTGTGTGATCAAGATGGTGTTAGCTCGTAAATTCGACGTCTTGTTTAAGCTAGTGGAATAAATAACAGAAAGAGAATTTTTGGGAAGTTATGGCAGACTTCGACAGGACAATTATTTATGGAAGTCTAGTCGAAGTGACCCTTGTGCCAGAAGGAAGAATTTCTTGGAATTAGAGAAATTATCTAAGTTTGAAGGAGTAGTTCGACGAGAAGGCTACTGATGGCGTCTTTGATTTAAAAATAGAATTTGAATTAAAGAGGGAACTTTGTTCTTATCTAGTTTCAAGAGAAGACACGTGGAACACAATAAGGAAGTGAAGACATGTCGAGCGCCACTTGTTGTGTTTTAGGAGAAAGGTCGTTAGAGGCAGTTATTTCTATTCAATATAAATAGGAGGTCTTAGTGATAGGATTTTGTGTGTGATCAAGTTTATACAAATCACTCAAATTACTCAAAGTATCCAGTGTGTAGAGAAAAGAGTTGTTGAGAAATGTACATTTGATAAAACACCATTTTCTTACAATTTAATCAAATTCAGTTTATACTTTTGTCCAGAAATTTATCTTCTTTATTGCATAAGTTTATTTTGATGCGTTTTACAACATTCTCTTTACTTTCTCGCCACATATTTCTTTTATCGAATTAAACTATTTTCCAACCATGGACGTTGTTGAAGTGTTCATTGTTTCTCAAACGTTAGTTTAAAAAGCGTTAGCACATGCCTAGGATTCACTGGTTGATCCTGTAAGTTAACTAATATTTGGAGACCAGCGGTTGTTTAGCAATTTTCACGGTAAACAAATTGGCATGCCTAGTGGGATAGTGCTAGTGATATTTTTAACGATTTTTCTTTTAAAAACAATTCTACCCAATTCTTCACGATTGTTGTCTCTCTTTTGCTAAACTTCGTTGTATGTCATTGAGAAGTGATAAATTAGTCATCACTAACGAAGATAGACCAAGGAGAAGATACACGAGGAAAATGGTGAATCAAAGTCAACCAAATAATCCAAATCCTCAAAATACATTAAAATATGGAGAACCTACCCCAACATCTTCGACAGGAGGAACTACAATCTCAGTACCTATTTCTGAACTGGTACCATCCATGGAAAGTTCGAAGCCTACACAATCGATTTCTCATTACATTTTAACTTACATTGGGCCACGGGGTCCTCCAACAACCCCCCACCAATAAGAAACGTTTCGAACAGACCCTTTATGCCTCCAGGTTTCTCCATGCCTTTAGGCGGCCGAGAACAGCGTTACGGAATGCCAACATCAGTGATAGAGAACTTACATAACATGGGGTCAACATTTCCAGAACCCGTAATAAATGTAACTTCCCCGCTGCAAGGGTCAGGGTCTGGAATTAATAAGATGGGTCGAAATGACCAACCCTTAGGGATAGGTTTTTCCACCCAAATGCCAGGATTAAAAAATAGTTCTGCAGCGATTATTAGGCAGCAAATGGATGAGAGTAACCATGAAATGGTCCAGATGCTTGCCCAAACAATGGG